ACCCGCGACCATGGAGATATAAACAGCTTTTTATAAGGTAAAAATAATAAAACAAGGTCTTTGTCTGCAATGATTAGACATGTTTTTTTATTGTTTTCATTAGTGATTATCTCAATTTTGGCTAAAAGAATTGACAAAATCCTACACACTTTGTGCCTTTAATAGTTTTTATGATTTCTACATCGTCAGTCCTTTTTTCTGCTCTGTTGTCAACATGTACAGTAATGGGAAATCCAGGCTCTTGACCATTTTGCGTTAGCCGTTAGCTTCACCAGGCGATCACACGGTCACGTGGTTTCTGAGCTCCAGCTGTTCTATAGAACCTCCGTGGTTTGACTATAAAAGTTGACATCCAGTCATTACTTTTGGAGAGTTTTATTAAAATGAACACACACATACAGGCTACTGAGTCATAATTTAATAAATCATACTCTTCCAGTTGAAAGTAGGAGAAAAAAAGACATTTGAATTGTTTATTTCCTTCACTTTTTTGTAGTTTCCATGTTTGGGAATGAAAGAAAACAAACATCATTCCTGTTCCATTGTTGTCACGCTGCTGCTTTGTTCTCTTTGATTTATTCTTGTGTTTTTTTATTTTTTTTATTGTTATGATCATAAAATAACGTAGAAAAAAAAGAAGCTGCAAAACATTCAGCAAGGAAACAAGTTTCTTTTGCACATCTGAAGAATTCTCCAGAGAACTGAGCTTTGTATTCTCACACCTCTGACATATTTGTTGACACTTTGGGTCTCAGACTGAGGGAGTAGATAATAATTAACAGAAGCCTAATTTTCCTTCATTTATAATCCCAGAAGAAAATAGCTGATTTTACAAAGTTGGGACATTGTGTAAAACATAAATAAAAACAGAATTAAATTAAATATAGGTTGGAAATCATTGTATTGTTTTTAATTGTTTCACACAACTTCGTTAGCATTGGGGCTGTAGATTWTTTTTTTCACAGTGCACCAGTTGCTTTTATTTTACACCTTTAATATTTCTATGCTGTTGTCGTCTTGTGCAGCCCACCAACTTCACCAACCCAGTGTACGCCACCCTCTACATGGGCGCCCACAACAGCCGCAACTCTCTGGCCAGCACGGATGAAAAGAAGGAGCTCCTGTCCCAGGGCGACGAGGACATGAGCGACCCGTTGGCGTGAAACGGCTCAGCTCGGACTGAACTCTGCCGACATCGCCCTGCCTTTGTCCAAACGCCACCCCCACCCCCACCCCACCGTGCTGATCCAGCAAGCTCCCTCATCTTATGCCTTTACCAACTGAAAAGAAAAAGCAACAAAACGAAGAAGGAAACAAAAGGAAAGAAAGCGAGAACACTGTATAAAATGTATAAAAATGAAGGACTACTTTTTTAAGTGATTGCAGTATTATATTTTGTTCTTTGACAAAACAAATACTAGTGAGGGGAAACCAACCATTTTATAGACAATTTATCAATTTCTTTTTCTTTTAATTTTTCTTTTTCTTTCGCTCACAACTGTCCCTCCTCTCTCACCCATATAGCCACTACCTCTGTGCAAATGTAAAGGATAGAGAGAAACAAGCGGCTATGGAACAATTTTAACTTTTTATTTTTGTATGAATTGTATAGGGGAGTTGAAACAAACAAAAAAAGCAAAGTATTGTTCCAACCTAGAACAAGTCTTTTGTTGTCCATGTAAGAGTGTAGTTGTCACTATGAATGCTTCCTGGGTGTTTCTCACATCAGGTGTGTATATATGTGTGTGCGCGCACGTGTGTGTGTGTGTGTGTGTGTGTGTGTGTGTGTGTGTGTGTGTGTGTGTGTG